GGGCGGGGGAGGGAAATACACGGGATTATGGTGATGGCACACGGGTGACTTGGTGATGGGAAACCCGCGGGGATTACAATTGAGATGGAAAAAAAATGTACAAAATGATGTAAAAATAAACTTTTGTAATAAAAAAAAATTGTTTGTGTCTTGAAAGATTTGTGACCACCGCTTCCATCAGCGACCCCAGGGGCTCCCTGAGATGGCGCCCTACTCAGTGCACCCTGAAAGCCGCACGGAGGCTGGACAGATCAGGAGGTCAGGCCTTCGTGGACAGCATGGGGACATTCGGCAAATGGCGCAGGCCCTCAGGCTGTCAGGGCGCCCCAGGCAGAAGCCGCGGGTGTGTCCGTCGTCCCAAGGTGCAGCGCATCACCCCCAGGGAGTGGGGCTGGACACCGCATCATCGCCCAGAAAGAAGGCTGGTGTTGTGCCAGGCAGGCTTGACCATGCAGACTCGAAGGCGACCCGGGGGCTCCGCCACTTGCTCTGGCCGTTGCCCGCACCCGCCACTCCGAGGCTGTGCTTGCCGCTGGCTCCTGAGGCGGCACAGAGGAAGCCAGTGGCCTGGGCAAGTCCCGCACAAGCTGCGTCAAACACAAGCACGGAAGTCCAAAGACGAGCTTCCTGGTGGAGACGAGCATCCTCTCCGGGGCCCCCTGTGCCCCCTCTCGCACGGCTTGTTTGTCTTCCAGCCCTTCCATCTGGGTCCCTCGCGCTCCGCAGAGGACACAGGTCGTCAGAATTCACCTGGACCTGAGTGTTTCCTTCTCTGCTGCGCTTGCACGTGCAAACTTATGTGACCACTTTTTAAAAAAGAGGTTTATTTATGTATGCATACTGAACTGGGGCACAGGCCAGAGGTGCGGGGGTGAGAGGTCCCCCCGAGACAGAGCGGGGTGCAGGACAGGCAGATGGACTGAAGCCCACTGCTGAAGGGACAGGGGGAGACAGGAGCGGTCTGCTGCGCCCCGGGGGCCGTCCCTGGCCGGGGACCCAGCTCGCGCTGCAGCAGTGGCCCATAGCTTCATCGTGCGGAGGCCTGACCCCTTGCACTTTTTTGGTCTTTTCCTCTGTGGTTTCTGAGCTTGGAATAATTTTCAGGTTTCTCAGGGGACAGAAACATCCAGCAGCATGTTCTACTAGTTTCCATGCCTGTGTTTCCTTCGTGCCCCACCTGGGGAGGATCTCGATGGGCGGCTGGAGAGGGGTGTCCGCCCAGTGTCCACGTCTGCGGAGGGCAGCTGGCCAGCCAGACGCCTCCAATCACACAGTCCTCGGGCACATGCAAAATCCCTGCCTCATCCTACGCTAAGTGGCTGCAAGATCCTGAAAAGTCCGTTACGGACATGAGTCCGCCTCGCTCAACCTGCTGCTTCGGCCCAGCTGTTTAGTGTGGTAGTTGCTCACTGGAGGTTTGTCGGCCTCCAGTCCCCACTCCACACCCTTCGCTACATTCTCTGGCTGTCCGCCACATGTCTTCTGCCACTGCACGTCGGCATCATCCGATGCCCTGTAGTTGGGCTGGCAGCGAGCTTCCTGATTAAGTCAGCAAGAAGCGGTATCTACAGCGCTCTGTGCTTGGACATGAGCACAGCATGGAAGTCCCTAAAGGCAGGTGTGGATGGGACACGCAAGCGCCCCGCACAGTGGCCTGTGCGTATCGCTCACGGTCATTCCGGGATGCAGCGTCATCTGCTTCACCAGGATGTGCCAGCGCAGCTGTCCAGGAGGCTGCCAGCCATCGGCATCACTGCTGGCACCAGCCTCTCTCGCACTGCCCCGACGCCGCTTTGCCGAGGTCCTTTTGGATTTTCCTAGCTGCTTGCTGAGGCCAGAGGGCTGCCCCGACGCCAGCGCCGCAGCCCCCGTGGCGGGCCATGTGAGCCAGCTGCTCCTCCCGGGGGCCGGGTCTGCCGGTGCCGTGTGTCCCCACGCGAGGACTGGGCCCGTGGCGCTTGCCTCATGCTCTCTGAGCCCCAGACACCAGGGCCACCGAAGGCCACAGGGTCAGAGTCACAGGAGTCGCAACTCCTTGGCAAGCCTTTGCCCAGACGGACGGCTCTGGCCTCTGTCCCTGGCGGGCCCCTTTCCCAAAGTAAAGCTACAGCACTTGATACATGTCTACCAGGGACGGTGACAGAGTCCCCAGCCTGGGACTCAGATGGTGGCGGGGTTGGTTCTGAACAAGTTGGAAATGTGCAGATGAATCGTCGCCCATGACCCCAAACCGGCTCCTCCAGAGGACCCAAAGGGTAAGCAGGAGGCGCACAGAACTTAGGCTGGATGTGACCTTCCCCTCTCCCCACTTCCTGCTCCCTCAAGCAGTTACTTGGTACCTTCCAGCCCTCCTGGGGACAGAAGAAAACACAGAATTTGCTGCAAAAAGTGCGGGTTTAGTTGTCATAAACCCTGCTGCATCCCCCCCAAACCCGCACCTCCATTGCCTCCCGCCCCCACACCCTGCCCCCCCCCCCCCCGCGCGGGGTCTCCTGTCTCCCCGCCTCCCGGACTCCCCGTGTCCGCCCACCCCCTCACTTGAGGCCCTGGTCCAGCTGAAGCTCTTGCTTGTGATTACAAAGCAGGTAAAGGGCGGCAGCGCGACCATCCCCACCGGGACCTCTACCTCAGGGAGGCCCCGTAAGGCAAGGCGAACAATTGGGGGGGCCAAGGAGAACGACGCTGCAAACCACCCCAGTGCCAGCCCACGGTGGCCCCTCCAGCGCCCCAGGGCACGGCGGGACAGCAGCTCACCGACGGCACACTGGGACACCCCCCCTACACGCACCCCGTCCCTGCCTGTGTGGTCGGCCGGTGGGGGCGGGGACCGAGCGGGGGTCCCTGGGGTTGCCCCCCACTCTCCGCAATGGTGGTGAGTGATGCGGTGAGGAGCACGGGTCTGCCCCGCGGGCGTCGGGCGGGCGGGACCGCCGAGCGTCCCGCTTGTGGGCAGAGACCGGGCCTTGGGGCGAAGGGGCGTGGCCGTGCCACCAGGAGCCCCAGGAGGGTGGGAGCGCTCATTGGGCCGCCAGGGTGGTCCCGCCATTGGGTGGCCGTGCGCAGGCGCCCTGGGCCGGCGGGCGGCGGGCAGCGCTTTCAGCCGTTGCCAGGAGCGGGACCGCGGGCG